AGAGCAACTCTGAGCGAGGAAGAGACACGCGGGGAACAGACTCGAAGATAATCGGGACCAAAAGGCCTGATTATCAGAAGGATCCAAAGATCATCTTGCCAGATTCTCCTGTGGTGTGAGGTGTGAGTGATATTAACTTTACTGATCCGATAAAATGTTTCTCCCCATTCCTCTGCAATGACCATTTCATTTACAAAGTTGTCCATTCAGGCGTCTCTGCTCGTCAACATAGCGGGAGAGTAACTGTGTATGTATGTGTGAGCGTGCATAAAGGCCCGGTTAGCAACGTTAGCACCAGCGCTAGATTGGTTATGTCTGCCATCGCACTAATCTCATGAAAACTAAAGTTACAGCGTTGCAAAATGACATCAAACAGAGGAGAAACAGGCGCACAGCGTGACAATACTTGGTTTAATTTTCCTCGTCTACACATAAACACCTTACAAATCTTCACCCAGGAAGGAGTTTTACAAAAAATGCATTTTCAGTGACCTAAAACGCAGTGAAATGGATTGGACACAATCATAGAACGTAGTCAGACATTGTGTAATTATGAACACTATGAAGTGAACATCTCTGCTGAAATAGTTGTAAAAGTACACGGCCTTCTAGATGTTTGAAATCATCAGGGAACTGAAGCTACAGACTAATCACAGATCAGTGGGTGGGACCTCACTCCCACAATCCAAACTTAATGTCCGCCATCTTGCTTGGAAGCTATGCTAACAGGCTCTATGGAGAAAGCTGATAAGAACCGACAATGGCGGAAAACATAAGTTTCAACTTCCAACTGATATGGATGAAGGGGATTTTGAAGGTCTTGTGCTCGAATCGGATGTTCACATTAAAAAGACAAATTTACAAGATGTTGTGGATTTATGAGACCGGAAGGGGAATGATCAGACTGAACATGCCAGTTTAAAAAGATGTGATAGAGACAGAGTCAGTATTACTGATGTGTGGTGGGAGGGAGTTGAGGCTGATGGAGGAACAGTAGAAGCGCAAGACCTGCTGTGCATTCTGGGATTTGTTGTCTTTCATCCACATGAGCCAAAAATACACTTTCTGCCTTTTCTCAGTCAAGAAGGCACCAACTTCAAAATTTATTTTACATTTCTACTCCACATATAACCCAATGTCAGCACAGATTCATGTTTCAACGGGTGAAGTATCCCTTTAATTAGTGATTGGATGCACCTGTGGAGGTAAATACATTCGAAAAACTCAACATGCATCTGTCAACAATATTCTTTATGTAGTGTTTGCTGAACATTTCTCCATTTTCTCCTCAGTTTAAGAAAATCTTAATCCTCTTAAAAGTCCTCCTCACTACTCCTGACAGTTTTACACCTGAAGAGCTCTCTTAAGGGCTAAGAAGCTTTCATCTTTACCAGGATCCAGTCCTAACTTTGAGGGGAGATTCTTAGAAAATGTTCTCGTTCTTAGAATTTAGTCACTAGGAGAAACTCTCAGTACTGAGGAGGCTTTGTGATTACAGCCCCAGATCATGAAATGATTCATGCTTCATCGAGTTACCTGCACTGTGGGTTACAAGGCTTTAGTCAGTGAATTAGACCGACATCAGCCCTGTCAGTTCAATGGGTTTTAACATGCAGCGCTTTTTCCTCACGCTGGTCAAACACACGGGTTGTCCATGCAGCAAAATCATCAGGAGAAAATGGACATTATGCTTCTAGACATGAAGAGATTTGGACCACCAAAGTGTGGCTTGCTTCCTGCCTCAAAAAAGAGGGTACTGGAGGAAAACCAAGAGATTAAGAGGTTATAGAGAGTTTATGGAAAGATCAAGAGGATTGTGGTCACTCTGAATAACAGCCTGAGATTCAGAGGAAGGAGCAGCAGAAAAACAGACGTGCACTGATTCTTTCCTTTTTTACATACTTTATTAATGCCTGAGGGGAAATTCTGGTTTTACACTCTGTTATTGCGAGACATGCTTCTCACACGCAAAGTCCTGAAATACACACATGCACAAACAGGAGCTGTGGACATGCATTAATGAAGAGACGTCAGAGGGAGGCTGCTACACACTGTTGGGCAGGGAGCACACTAGAGTTGTTCGGGGTTTGTTTGGTGCCGTACTCAGGGTTCCTTGGCAGTGCTCGGGGCTTCTCCAGCAGCCAGACCTACTTCCATATTTTGGTCATTATCGGGACTTGAACCACCAACCTTCCTGTTTCCAACCCAAGTCCCTACAGACTGAGCTACTGTCCCCACACACATATTATATGATAAGTGCTGCAGAGAGGCTGTGGTCTATGAATAAGGGTCTACAGATGTTAATAAACAAAATGCTTGTTTTTATAATAATTACGATTTGAGTATTTTTATTCCAGCTACGCCTGGCAGAGTTGGGAAAGAGACTTAAGATTTAGAGATACATTAAAGATACATTTTCTTCAGACTAAGTGTTTGTCAAAGATAGTGTAAAGGCTCATTTTGAATCTTTTACATGTTTCAATATGTACACTTTAAACAATATAACCATCACTGGCCATTTACTCCCACGTTTCTTTTGTTGTGTGGATGGACATTAAAACCATTCATCCACTAGAGGTCTAGCACGGATCTCCACTTCTCCTTTCCTGCAAATAATGCAAAAATTCCAAGCAGCAATCTCCGGTGTTGAAAAATGAGAAGCTATAAAAGCGCTGCACGTCTGTCCTGTCTCTATGACAACAGTCTGTCGACAACAGCCGCTGTATGACCGACACAGCTTTATTACTTGTTACTGAAAGTTTTGGAAAAGAGCGCCGTTGATGTTCACGGCGCCTTTCTGAAAAGTTTAAAGATTTTCAACTTGAGCGCTTGGAGCGGTGTGCATTGTGTATGTTTATGTGTTGTGTGTGTGTGTGTTGTGTGTGGGTGTTTGTATTTGTGTGTGTGTGTGTGTTTGTGTTTGGGTGTTTGTATGTGGGTGTGTGTTTGTGTGTGTGTGTGTGTGTGTTTGTGCATCGTGTGTGTATGTATGTGTGTTTTTGCATTGTGTGTGTGTGTGTGTGTGTGTGCATCATGTGTGTGTCACAGTGTGTCATGTTGATGAGGTTGATGAGGTTCTATGTTTTGACCTGAAGAGGGCAGAGTTAACACACCTGGCAGCCTGAAGCTCTTCCTGAGCCTCCCTGTGTTCACCTTGATGTAGGCGTCTGCCTGAGGGAAGCCACACAAACAGTCTGTTACAGGGATGGTGGGGAGTGTTGTACCCATGTCACACCCTGCAGACTTCAGCACCCTCTGCAGGGCTCTTCAGTCATGCACAGTGCTGTTCCTGAACCTCTGGGTGATGTTTCACGTCTATACCCTCTCCACCACTCCAGAATAAAACGTCCTCATAATCCCCTAAACTGTCCCTAACAGAGTCTGGACGTAGGCAAGTAGGATGCATGGCAGGGACAGGCTGTGGTCCTTAGCCTGTTCCAAGCACCACCTTGTCCTCCTCTGTGCCTTTCCCTCCTCTGGCAAATGTTTCTGTCCTGTGCTGTGTTACCTAAGACTTCAGCCGGCAACCACTGATCATCGTGGAGGAAAAAGCTGGAAACTGTGTTCGTTACAGGTCTCTCTATGTCCCAAGGTTTAATCTTTACTGAGAGAGCTGATTTTAAAGACAACAAACACAACCTGAGCAGAGCAGTCCGGACAGCCAATGGACACAGCCGTCTTGCGCCTGTATTTGTTATTTACTAGTTTATTTACTATTAGGTTATTTACTATTTGTTTATTTACTCGTAGTGCTATGTCAATAACTTCTTCTGTCCAAGGTTTACCTGTTATTTAAATTTCATTGAGAGGGACACTTTTTAAAACAGCAGTTGTTTAGTCTGGGCGACTTTATAAAACATAATCAACAGTAGAACAAAGCACTGAAATAATGATGTTTTTAACAGTAGATTCAGGACGGGGTCATTTCTTTCTGTGCCAGGTTTCCAAGCAATATCAGCCAACAGCTCTCTCTCTCTCTCTCTCTCTCTCTCTCCTGTTGTTCAGTGTGCATACAGACAGGTGCGAGTGAGTTACTATGGAGACAGTCAGTCATTAAAGAGTAGTCCCTGCCCCTCTTCTGTCAATCAAAAAAAATCCCTTCTTCACTGCATGACCAAGCGTCACTGAGATTCTGGACTGTGTTTAAAATAGCAATTCCTTTTTTTGCATTACCGCGAGTCTATAAACATGTCTAAAATAAGTCCTGTAACATTATATTAAACTACATATAGACTCCAGCTGTAGGATTCTGCCTGTGGCTAAGTGGATCCAGAAGCACTCAGATAATTCCGGGTCACTTCCTGCATTTGGTACATTCCCTTTCCATCAAGAATCTGTGGTTTGTAAATTAGTTTGGGGACTGGTAAAAGTGTTCTGCCAATGTAAATTTGTCGTAAAGTGCTGCTCATCTTGTAAATTTGTTCTGTCCTTGGTAAAAGTGTTTTGTTTTCATTCGTTTTAGTTTCATTGTTTTTGTTTTGTTTTTCTGCCACTTGTTAATTTGTCTCAGCGCTTGTAAGTGTTTCACATCTTGTAAATTTGTTTTATAAAAAATAAAAAAAAGTGATTTTAAAAGACACAGAAGAAGACATAAGAGTATACAAAGATTATAAACTGGTATTCAGAAGTTACAAATTAGTGTTTAAAAAATGATCACGATGCAGGAGAAGAAATGTATCGTGGAAGATCCTAAGACCCCCTTACCCAATGATGCCATCTATTAAAGGCAGATATTTAACTTTTTAATGGATTTGACCAAAAACATTCTACTTCCTGCTAGTGTTGTAGTGAAGACCACACTGACCGTGACCAAGACATACCTGAGACCAGAGTGTTCCGAGACCCAGACAAGACTAAGACATTAAGGGGTCGAGACCAAGTCAAGACAACACCAAGCAGCTGTGGTGGTGGCTGCTTTTTTGTCTTTTGTCCATCACATGCCTGATCATACATCTACTTTAAGCATGAAGTAACTTGTTCTCCTCTTCTTGTGACAACAGCTTTCAAAACCAAGATCAAGGAGGTGACACGGGAAAACATGGACCGGAAGGTGATCTTGCAGAAGAGGAAGAAGATGTTGAAAGCGGGAAACCTGAAGAAGAAGGACATGAAAACACTGGTGCTGTACTTAAAAAACGGCGCAGACTGCCCCTGCCAGCAGCTTGATAACTTGGGCAACCAGTATTTAATCATGGGCCGCAAGGTGGATCAGCAGTACCTCCTCACGGGCATACACAAGTGGGACAAGTCCAGCAAAGAGTTCAAACAGGCCATCAAGAAACTCAAAACATACAAATGTTCCTCATTTGACAATGTCTTCTAATGATAAGCCCTTCACCTCCACAACACACACACGCATATATGCACATGCACACACGTTCTTTGGTCCCATTGCATCCTACATATGACTTAGACAGGCGATCAAATCCAAAAGGGTCACTCCTGTTTTCCTGTTTATATAAATATATATAGCTTTGTATTTTAAAAATATACATGTCCATTTTTTATTTTTAGCTTAATGAGGTGAGTGACAATACTACAAAGGAAGGGTTCGGATCGCTTTTCTTCTTCTGCTTCAGAAAAGAACAATATAATTCCCCCTGAAACCAAGTTGACTTAACGTGAGATACTCCGTTACACTCCTACATCCACAGGTCTGTGGATTCTTTCGATGATTGTTTTGGTTGTTATTAGGGCTGTCAGCATTAACTGCTTCATCGCGATCAATTAAGGTCTGAAATAAATGCATTCTTTTTTTATCCCGATTAATCTCATGCTAATTTGTCCGTTTAGGCTCACCATAGATAATCCTCCTCAGTGTCTCCCTGTAGTCTCAGTGATGTAAAAGCAGGACACTGCTGCATCTTTGAATGTCTCATTTCACTTTAACAAACTCTCAGACAGCTCAGCTGACGAGTCCAAAGTCATATCCACCTTATGACATCACACATTGACCTTATGACATCACACATTGACCTTTGTAACCGTTCCTTTGAGCTGTTTGACGTCAGTTTGGGATCCGTAACCACTTCCTGTTTCCTGTGCTTAAGTTAATGTTGTAACCTCCCATCTACCTGAAGGTTCTTGCTTTATTTCAAAATAAAAGCACGGTCGAAGGACACATATTATGTAAAATCCACTTCACCATGTTGTTCTAGCACCAATATGCGTCTCTACTCTGTCTACAAACCCTCCAATGATGATAAAAGTCCATCCTCTCCGTCTTTAGAGTGGTCCACTTTTCAGAAAATGTGTGCTCAAACAGGCTGTTTTGAGATTTCCCCTTCATGACATCACAAAAGGCAGTAACCCCTCCCCCAGGTGGGTGACATGCACTCCCACAGCTAGATGTTTATTCTGCCCTCTGAGTCTGCCTTCTCACCGTAAACAATAGGACATGGAGCGAGAAAGACCGAGACACCCAAGCCCTTCCAGAGAGGGGGGCGTGGTCAGACACAGCTCATTTACATATTTAAAGGTACAGACACAGAAACAGCCTGTTCTGAGCAGGGCTGAAATAGAGGGGTTTATAGACATGATCAAATACAGGATCAGAGTGGATTTAGAACAAGAAACTTTACACACATGTTTTGAGGAGCTCTGAGACTTATTTAAACTGGTTGAAGAGGAGGAGAACGTGTGACCTTTAAGGCAGTAGGAAAATCAAAATAAAAGCCTGACAATTTTTATTTTAAAATGCAAAATAATGGAATTCCAAACGAGCGATTAAAATGTGACTAATCGTGATGAAGTATTGAAATTTAGTGATTAATCAAAATTAAAATTTGTAATCCTTTGACAGCCCTAGTTGTTTTGTACAAAGGAGTATAAGGGCCACATTCAGGGGAATTTATTTTCGAGAATTCTTGATTAAAGTCATAAAGTTATGAGAAAAAAGTCATAAGATAAGACAGTCAAAAATGTATGAGATTAAAATCGTAAAAATTACGAACATCAAAGTTGTTATTTTAGTCTATAGTTCTATCAAAAGAGCAGGAGCAAATGAGGAACGTGGAGCATCTTGTGAAGTTACACTTGAGTAAAGGTTTCATAAATAAGGATGCTTCCTTGTGTAGTTTGTAACACAGCCTGACTGAGTATTTACTCTCTGTGGAATGAGCTGCTTTAAGGTCTCTAAATATCCCATTAGTTGTGTTGGGGCTTTATGTTTGCTGATATGAAACTACACACTCTTTTGGTACATCAGCGCCACATCATCGTGAGAATCAGGACCCTGAAAAGATACTGCAGGAAACTTTTCTGGAGAAAGAACCACACTGACCTGGAGGAAATCGTCTCTTTTGTGTCTGAGAAAATGTCTGTGAGGGTTCTCATTTCATAATTTTCGCGCAGCAGCATGGCTGCTCTTCTGATACAACCTTTCAGAATAATCATTTTAACCATAGCATGATTCAAGTTATGATTTTAATATAATACATTCACGACTATACTCAAAATGTTAGATGTTTTTTTCTTTAACGAGGCCCTATCACTCCGTCGTAGTTTTGTGTAGTATACTATATTTTTACTTACAGAGAGACAAAAAATTATACCACTTTCCCCCAATACCCACATACTCTGTGCGCGACGCGGTCTGTCAGCACCACGGTTTTGCTCCGTACGCCCTGCCCCCATTTCTGGAACGTGAGCGCAGTGGAGCTCAGCCATGATCAGCTGTACACACGTCAAAGGAGAACTCCAAGATCACGTGGGAATAAAGAGAAAAACGTGCAAACAACATGTTGCTTTGTCTTTCTGAGGATGATTGTTGTTCGTTCGGATCCTGTTTTGATGTAATGTTGATAAAGTGATGAAAAAACGATCGCTAGTCTGTATATCGTGTTTTAGTTTGAAATTGACGGGCTGCTCTGTACGTTTCCTTGTCTGACTTCCTGTCCAGGCTGTCATATTCTGTTCAGCTTGACGCGTGCCTGCAGCGCACTCCATTGAAAATAGACTGGCAGCGTGTTTGAAACGAAGCAGAGCGTAGTAGCGTTGGTCACACGCTCCAGAGACAGAGCATGGCGCCCCCTGTGGAAACACAATGATTGACTAGAGTGGCAGCGAACTACGGCGTAGTGCGTGTCGCTGACAGACCGCGTACGCACGGAGTATGTGGAAATTAGGGGTTTCCGTTCTTCAGGGCAAATATCAAACTAAAACCAGCAGGGAGTTATCTGAGAAAAGACTGGAGAAAGAGAGAAACAGTGATGTTGTACAGTCCAATAATACAAACCTCAAAGTGTCCATCAATCACATTTATTCATGTATATATTTGACAAATTCAGTATAATGTTTATTGATTGTTTAAAAAAAACTGCTTTAGAGTTGGTCTTTTAAAACCAAACTGAAAACACAAGTTAAACACAAGGATGAGAAAGTGTCCCGAGTGCTCGAATCAGCTGCTTGTGCTGTCAAAGTTCGCACTGAGCAGACCAATCATTTTACAACATTTCCTTTTCATTTATTCAATTTGTTTCATCACATTCCACTTTGTTACTTGAAAAGTCTGAAGGTGATCATAACTAACCGTCTATATGATGTAGATAAAATGTTGACCTGTGTGTATTTTCAGCTGATAATATACCACTATTCTGTTTCTGTGCGTTGAGCTTACCTGCAGTTATCATCAGTATTCATTGGTGATGTGAAACACCTTGTAGTCATACATGTTGACCATGCAAAAGAAATCAAAGCGCAAACATCGCCAACTCACTCTTCTGTTGTATTTTTGCTTGTTGGTCTGTTTTAGTACTCTCTTGTTTCACATTTGAATGTCCCTGGCACATTGCCATGATTTACGTGTACATACAAATTTTACATTAAAAGATGGTAACACTGATATTGAGTTGTTGGTTTTTCATGAATTCAACATAAAGGCTGCATGGTGGCGCAGTGGTTAGCGCTGTTGCCTCACAGCAAGGCAATTCCTTGTTCATATCCCCGTCGGACAGGTGCCTCGCTGTGTGCAGTCTGCATATTCTCCCCGTGAATGTGTGGATTCTCTCCAGATACTCCAGCTTCCTCCAATAGTCCAAAGAATTGCTCACTGGGTTAATTGATGACACTTAATTGCCCATAGGCATGAATTTGTGAGTAGTAAAATAGTCAGGTTTTTTTTTACATGTATTATGATAAAGTTTAGCGTTTACTTACCGCTGAATGAGACATGAGACGACGTAGCTTCTACACATTGCAAGAGATGAGATGAGGTCCGCTTCTGGAGCAACGGTGCTCGTGCATATAAGTGAGCTTTTGAGGGAGCACAGAGGGGAGGGAGTGGGTGTAGACTCAGCAATGATGGAATCCTACTTTCAAAGTCATGCTAGTTCTCAAAAATTACCAACCCTGCCTTTCAGATTTTTTTGGGGACCTTTTTGTCTTTATTAGATATTAGAGCTGAAGAGAGGCAGGAAATGTTGGGAGGAGAGAGTGGGAGGATGACATGAAGAAAACGACGGAGGTCGGATTCGTATCCATGGCCTCTGCACCAAGGACTACAACCTCTGTACATTGGGCACAACATAACCGCTAGGCTACCGATGCCCCACCATTTTATACCTCTTTATTTAACTTGCTGATGTTTGAAGGAAGAGACTGACACCACTTTTATATCTAGATGTTTATTAAGAGGAAAAAACTGGCATAGTTTAGCTCAACATGGAGGCTGAAACACAAGTTAACCTTCAGGTGGCTGAATTATTTTCCCAGTTGGGATCTTTATTCAAACAGGTTCCTCATGTCCAACATGGCATCTTCCACAGCTTGGATCATCCCTGCTGAATTCTTTTCTCTGCCGGTCTTACCGTTGCGTAAGTCGGACTGTCCCAGGTCTGCAGGGCTATCACATGGGATAATGCCATTCCTGGATGTTACCTTTTGAAAAAGAACGAGAGAGATGTGAGAGCTCTGATACATGCCCAAAATAGGAACTTGTGAAAAGTATTATTAGGTCACAAACCCCGACCACGGAGTGAGGACCCTATTGAAACTCCTGGTGGTTCGTTGCCTTGCTCAAGGGCACCTCGACAGTGCTCAGGAAGTGACCTGGCACCTCTCCAGCTACCTCCGGTTCCGAACCAAATTCCCTACAAACTAAGCTACTGCCGCCCCAGACTGAGCCACTGCCGTCCCCGTGTGTTGCAGAAAACCGCAATGACACCAGCACTGCATGCCACTACACTTTTGTGTAAGACAGTGCCTTTTGTTTTATCACATTTCAATTCATCATGTCTGATCATTCTTACAAAATCTCAACTAGTCCTGTTTCAAAAGTTTATTTCTAAAACTGATGAAAATAAAATCAATGGTTTACAGATGGTCTGTGTGTGCACTGTGCTGTATGTTCAAAAACTCACAATTTCTATTCAGGGTACATAGATACTGTATGTCTTATTAAAACACCAGAGGGCAGGGCCACACCTGAAGGTTCACCAGTGCCTGTGTGCTTACAGTGAATTATAAACACGACTGCTCTCCTAGCAGATAAAAATCTGGTTAAAACTGATACCTGACCAGCTATCGTTTGGAAGTTGAAAGCTTTTGTAGGAAGTTTTTGTAGGAGACATCTGTAAAGAATTCAGGAGTGGGGATTTTTCCCTCGACAGTCTGCATCTCCAGACCACAGAGCTGTCCATAGGCCGCTTGTCCGTGGAGTCCCTTAAAGACCAAAACAAGTTGTGTTTGTGTTATTGCATGTAGACTTTTAGGTTTAGGACTTTTAGAGTTCTCTATCGTATCGAGACGATCTCTCCACTACATATTCCGTATGTAAGGAGCTTACCACGGGGTCAGGTGATGTTGTGGACAATTAGCTTTAAGACAATCCACCTGTGAGGTGGTTAAATGACAGTATGAGAGCACCTGTGCACCACAGGTTGGCGTTTGTGTGAATTAAAACTGTGT